TATCAGCACAGGACATTATTGGACTGTCTTAGCCTCTAAAATGAATCATAGCTGCGCTAAAAGACAGCATATATGCTACCAGCACCAGAAACACATTTAAGAATGAATAGATATGGAAACAAAAAAATTCACACAGGGTATATTCATAGCAAGTAAGAGTAATAAAAAATGAATGACACGATATTGTGATATCTCTGCTGTTCCACAACACCAATAATCAACATTGCCGTCACATTAGTTAGGTACATCATAGGCAAAATAAACTGCCCCAGAACACCCCCCCACCCCCACCCCCAAACTGGAATTGCCTCCAAATGACTTCTCTGCTCCCCCCCCAACCCGATTTCTAACAGACTTGTTGCTCTCTAGTCTGAAACTGAAAGGAAAATGTAAAACCAGCAATGTTTTGATAACAAAAAATACATAAATAAAAACGCACCCCCATATAAAAGAGTCTTTTAAAAACAGGGTGGTGGTTTCTGAACATCACGAGCTGACCACACCCAGCACATTTTCCCAGACATGTTTCATGAACAAATAGAGCCATTTTATTATGGCCCTCACTTCTCAGATTGTGGGAACCTACATTTGATTTCTTTCCTCTTCCTACCCCTCAGAACAGCAAGGGGCTGTGAATTCAGCCTTAAAGAATTCGACCAAATGGAAATTTCCACAACTATTCTTACATTTTAACTGGTCTACTGGAAACTACCACTTCCTTCACATAAAAATGACAATAAAAAAGACCTGTCCTGCTTCCTGACCATATATGCACTACGTGTGTTAACAACCACGCGTTCCAAAAATTATTTTTGCATTTCGAGAAGCATTTAAGTTGGTGAAAACCACACCGGGGCTGGAATTAGCGCCTTGGTTCTGGCTTAGATTTCTTACGTTTGAAGAGGGCAGTGGCGGCTGCGGCTCGCATTTCTGCCATCGTTAATATACTGGAGACAAGCAACGTCTCCTCCCCCGGGTATCTGATTATTGTTGTAATAAGGTCGATTGTAATATACGGCTGACCCGATCGTGACCCGTTTTTCCGGTTTGCTTATTTAGAGTTTAACTAGCCCAGCCTCCTTCTAGGGGCCAGTTACTTTGAGCGATGACAATAAGTCACTGACAATCCGTTAAGTGTAGCGCACAGTATACACCAGCCCCCCCCACCAGTCACTAATACCAGATGTTGGTATTAGTGACTCACACACGGACCCCTCAATCAGATAAGGCTGCCCATCAGGATTCTTTTACTGTACGCACAAAGACCGGAGCGTTAACATATAATTTCAGTTAATGTTATATAAACACACTTATCTTTGCTAGAAATCAAACCGTGTTGCTTAAGTCACCTTAACATTCACATGACTTTAAACAAGGTCATGATGCACGTGGCTCCATGCAGCGACGCAGGCTTCTTGGTGACAGTGCCATGCTGCAATAAATGCATATCTGGATAGTTCATTACAACGACTTCCAGCACGTAGATCGCGGTGACATAATTGCATCTGTGTGAAGAGCTTGTCGGTCCTCTCTCCATCCCGTTTTTTTCTGATGAAGAAGGCTTGAGAATTAATTCAGATATATGAGAAAACATACTTCAGCCATATTATAACGACCAAATTATATTTACTTCATCAGACTGCGTAGGGTATATATGCGCCTGAATCCCGTCTAACCTAAAATCGCATTAAGCTGCAGCTCAGCCAATTAAAAATTTCGATGTTTTAGCACCAGACGAGTTCGCGTCGGAGAAAATCTGTTGAATGGGACCATGTGCTAAAATATTAATATTTCGGTGCGCCGATGCGTTTGCCAGTACCCACGTTACCTAATAACAATGCTGGGGGGTTACTGTCCATCGGTCCAAACGTCGTCTAATTCACCATCGTTAATTTAAAAGTTTGTCACCATTTGCAAGCTTTACATAATCGTAGAAATGCATGTATTACGCGTCTTATTACAATACTGCGATATCTCTAATTTGTATGGATTAGACATGGGTTTTAGTTTCTTGAAAGCATGTAAATGTGAAAAACACATCCATCTGAATAATCTATAACTTACCTGAAGAAAAGGGCTCCGGCTTGTATTTACTGTAAAATGCGGGCGATTGCTTAGATATTGCTAAACGACGTAGTTGAACATAAGCACATTAGTTTTATCTACATTTAATCTAAATAAAAATAACCTATCAGCAAGTGCTGCATCGCCCTGAATGTATAAATACTCTCTCTAACACGAAGCGAATATGCTACATGTAGCAGGAAAACACGCCTGACTTACCGCTTGGATAGAAAATGAAGAAGCGTCGCTCCTTTTTCCCTGTGCGTGTGTTTCTTCGGACTGGGGAGCTCGCAGCCCAGGATATATCAGGATATATCTATGCCGACGGTGGATCTGACTCGGGGGCGGAACCGTGCAGCCGCCGTGCGCTGAGTGACAGCCCCCCAGCCACCCCCGGCAGGACGGTACAGGGATGTATCATTCAAAAGGCTCGTAGGACATAACGAGGAAATAACGGGGACCACAAAAAAGTCAGCATACTGTAGTCGTTTGTAATTAATTTTGGTAGCAAGTTACAATTCAGTTTATTAATTCGCTTGGGGGCAACACGGTGCGCATAAACATTGCAGTTCTGTCTGTTACGTATCCGCGCGTTTCAGCTGCTGTTTAGCTGGTCGTCAGTGAGAAATAAACTATCTATCTACATATAAATAAAATATTACATATTGTACGGTCGGGCACGGGCCGCAGCGCAGGCTGGTGACGTCAGCCCGGTCTTCATTTGCATATACCAGCCTCTTTTGGTTAAGCCGCTTGTTTGTCTTTTTATTAATTTCGGTCTTCATCCTTTTTTATGTGAATCATCTTGTGTGTTTGTGTTTGCCAGTACTTTTTACTCATGACTAGTGTATCACTGTCACGTGAAGAGTTACGTCCTGTCTAAATAACCCTGAGCATCTTGCCCATTGGTATTAGGTTAATAGCAGTTGTTTAGATTTTTCTGGCGTAGGCCTACTCGCAAATCCTTTCTGTTTATGTTTTAGGTCTAATATAAATACAACTATCCTACTTATCTACCAAATTACTTGGTTTTGGTTATGATGACATTATTTTCCGTATATTTACATAATATACACACACAGACATGAGAGATAAGTATTGATCCTATCCCAGATGAGCAATGTGGAAATGGATAAAAAAATAAATCCTGAAACAGAAACAAATCTATGCACTTTTATCACTCAAATATAACCAAACAGCATCTCTCTTGCCTTTTTAGTTAACCAAGATATTCAAATTAAATAATAGCTATAGGGCAACTGGCAATTCAAGCCTCCATTTTCCTACATTTCCGCAGATTGTCCAATATCCTACCAAAGATTCCTCCCCACATCCTCATCGTATCGAATACCATCAAACTCCAGTAGGTGCTGGTGCGACTAGCAGGTTAGCGCATCCTGTGGTCAGTGCGGATCCTAATGCCCCAGTGCAGTGACTGGGTCCCTGTGCGGTAAAAATGCCCCAGTGCAGTGACTGGGTCCCTGTGCGGTAAAAATGTGCGTCATATGGATGAGATGTAAAATCGAAGTCCTGACTATCTGAGGTCATAAAAGATCCCTGGGCATCTTTCGGAAGAGTAGGAGCGGTACCCCGGATGCCCTGGCTAAAACTGCCCACTGTGGCCTTATCAGATCTGATCTCCTAATCATCTCCTATATCTGCCATTCTCACGGCGCGGCACGATCTGAAAAAGGGTCGCGAGGCAGCATTGGAAATGTAAGCGTTTTAAAACCGGCAAGCTCCTCTGCTGATCCGGGATCAGATTTCCCAGCGCCAGTCCCAGAATTGACCTATATGAACGGGTCTGGGATCTGCAACTGCAAAAACTAGAACACTCAACCAATCCGAGAAGTCAAACCACAGATGCTTTGTTTAAAATTCACTAGCAACATCCAATCAAATTTGTGCGATAGGCATTGATTGGTGTAAATTGCACAGTGCACTGCACACTTCATAGCACATATTTAGACCTATACCTGATATAGGGTTATGACTTAGCTGGCATGGAAAAAATTGGGTCGCAGTGCAAAAAAAGGTTGAGAACCGCTGCCCTATATCTAACTGGCAACTTCTCTCCTGCCCCTTCACCACCTCAGCTACTGTGCAGTGAGCGTACTGGTGCAGAATAGCGACTGTCGCATCACCCAGGTGGGGGCTACACAGTGGTTGGGGTAGAAGTGACTTCCCATTTGGTTCTGTAAAGCACTTCGGCTGTCTTGAAAAGAGATAATGAATGAATGTTACATTTGCACAAGTCATTTCAATAAGCAGTATTCACAATTTGGTTTCGGTGAATTTAATGCATTTAAATTACCCATGTTTTCACACGGGTCCTCTGACGACGTGGCATACCCATTCAAGATGGACCCCTGCCTCATGCTCTGTACCTCACCGTAACCTGTGTATAAAGATAAATGGTATAGAAGATGGATGGATGGACCGACAATAGGTCTACAAACAGATGCCATGTCCATATTGTGGTGAAACGCAGATACTGCACAATCGCCTCAATAAAGTGAACGTCAAAACAACCATTATGATCAACAATCTACACGTTCATTTTCTCTCCGCCTCTTTTCCCAGCTATTAACACAATCAAATGCCACCCTATTTAATGAAGGCTTGTTCACATCTCTTTCCAGGATAGAGCTCCTCCACGTTAAAAAAAAAAAAAAAAAAACATTATGGAGAAGCACAACTACTGCACATATAAATTTCCCAAATAACCGACGATTAGTTTTTGTTAATGTGTAGGGGAAACCCCCATCGGGATTTCTGTGGAAAAATGTAACAAAACAGACACGCATTTTAGATTTAACTCTACCATTTAAAAGTGTTATGATCGCCGGTACTTCACAACCATTAAGTGCACATGACACCGCAGCACCGTACCAAAATGTAAGAGAATATTCATGTAAAGAAAAACACTATAATAATATGGGGCGTAACACATTACTGTTAGAGTTTCTGTATTGAAAAAGGAGACAGTTACACAAAAGTACAGTTGATATTTGTCTTTAGAAAGAACGCTACAATAAAATAAGGAATCTGCAAAGCCTGTAGTTACGCTTCTCGTAATGGCATACGTAAATACAAAGGCAGTTTAAAATACTTGCTTTTCAAAGCACATCATTTATCATCAATAGTGAAATAGAAGACAGTAACAATTTTCATCACGACAACGAAAATAAAAATTTATATACAAATTTATGCGCTGACACCTGTTAAAATATGTAATATTACATATAAATGCTCTGTTTCACAAATACATTTTTCCTCATCCTTAAAAGAAAAACTTATACATGTATCCATTTAACAATAACTGCTTTGCAATTCAAAAGCCTTTCGTTAATAAAAGTCCCAAAAGATTTAGGTCATCTTTAACAAAATGAAAAAAATACCAGCAACCCTGACCAAGGCAAGCCGTTGGAAGATGGATGAACATACTACCAAAATATCGTAGTTAAAGATGTTTATAAACAGAGTTCTGCGGTAACAACCCCTCGTCACGGTCTTGTGAAGACAAGTGCTTAAGGGTTCTAGGTCTACCAGTTAGCTGTCCTCACATTTAACTGTAATAGATTAATGGTAACCAAGACAAACATTATTAATATTGCGGAATGACTATTATTAAAACCTGCGCGCGTGTTTTGCATGTCGCATTTCTGCTTTCAGTATGACCTCTGGTACATTCCCTCCTTGGCATTGTTGCATAGTGCCTGTTGCTCCAAAAAGAAATCCCGGCCTTTGTGTCCGGAATCTTCCTTACGCTCTTTCCGGGATCGCCGCAGGCCATCTTTCATCATCCCGTCCTCTTATGTTCAGTTCTACGTTCATAAATCTTCAAATGGGCCATAAGGTCTGAACACTATCAGCGGTGCTGGCTTGAATTAAAAAAAAATAATAATAATGAAAAAAAGGACTTTCTGGCGCCCTCATGTGGAGCAGCAGAGAGCTATCTGCTGCACCTTGCCAAGGTCCGTGAGAAGCTGCTTGATCCGCAGTTTGAGCTGGGGAAGGCGAGCCAGCGGTTCTGGTGGTTCCAGTTCGCCCGTGTGGTCCAGCCAGCTCTCCAGAACTATGGGGCCAGAGAAGGAGGAAATCGTGAACTTAGCAGTCGGAGAGCTATGAGGCTAAATGTAGCCCAAGGCGGCTTTCAGTGCTCTAGGTCAGACGTTCCATTACGGAGAGCCGAGCGTCGACTCGCGACCCCCCGTCACACCCCCTGAGCGACACGCTCCGCTCAGATTTTCCGTTTCGATACTGAGCTTGAAATTCAGATTTAATGTTAGCATGAGGCTAGTTACATCTGTTTAGCACCAAGTTCCTAATGTCAGAAATATTACACAAAAAAAAATACTAAAAACACAAAAATAATTATTATTCATTAATAATTATCAATATAATAATCAACTGAAAAACAAAGTCGCCAGAAGCTTTAGGATGAAATCTCAGCACTTGGTCCATATACATGAACAGAGCGCTTACGTTAAGTTTGGTGCGATGCTCAACGCTTACGTGAAATGGGTTAAAGTGCGGCAAATTTTGATTAAGCTAGCTGTCACTTATCTTCATTCCCATGTTGATCAGATTGGGGGCGCCCCCTGGTGGCCACTGACCTAAGCAGCCACTCAGGTCGCTTACGCCTGGGGCTGGTCATGAGATAGGGGGGCAGAGAGGGCACAGCCCTTAGTTGTCGGAGGCCGGGGAGCCCACTGACCGTCCAGCTCCCTCTCGATGAAGTCCATCCTGTGCGTGACCTCCTCCTGTACAGCCTCGATGTGGTCCAGTAGGTTTATCTGCCACTGCTGCTGCAGGCTGCCCTCTGCCTCCGGCTCCGCCGGTTCGCTCTTCACCTGGCCGCCTCTGTCCCCGCTCTGCTTCCTGCAGCCGTCCGCCTTCTGTAAAAACACCCCGTGGCTTTTAGCCTCGTCACGACACCGGAGGTGTCTAAGCCCCGCCCTCACCTCCCAATCAGGGCCACGGTCACCTTAGCGTTGGTCGGCCACTCGAGTTGCAGGGACGGCTGGATCTTGCCCCTGTCGGGGTCCAGCGGGACCCCGTACCGGTGCTCCAGGGTCAGCAGGTCCTCGGTGCTGCGCAGGCTGTCCTCCAGCTCCGAGTCACGCGTTTCCACCACCAGCCGCTGCTCCGTGGCTGGATAGTACGTGTGCGGCTTCTGGTAGCAGTGCTCGCTGCTGATATACGAGTCCTGGGCAGCTGTGTGGCCCATCTTCTCCCCTCCAACAAGTGTCGAGTGATACATGCCATCCCCGTCCTGTGCGTTGTCCCCCAGGGCAGCAGGGGGCGCCAGCCCCTTCTCCGTGCTGGCCGTCTTCTTCGGCTTCTCTGCCCGCTTCCACGGCTGGCACCAGAGCTGCAGTTCAGGGTGTGACTGGCTCCTGTCAGGATGACAGACGGCAGGGTAAAGTCAGGCGTGACAAAGAATGAATCATTTTACTTTAAGCTAGTCAGTGGTTATTTATATAGCACAGGGGTGGTGTGCGACTCAGACGGCTAGGACTCCATGTCTGTGACTGGAAGGTCGCCGGTTCGAACCCCGTAACCAGCAAAGTAATGCCATTTTGAACCCATAAGCAAGGTTTTCTACCCCAAATACCCAAGCATGGCTGAGTGACCCTGGCCTGTGACCCCCAAACCTGCTCTCAGCTGTATATGAGAGCAAGATGGGGCTGAAAAACAGACAAATTTCTATTCTATGTCACCCAACCCTCCACAACCCAGACACACCGATTCATTAGGGCAGGTGTGGCACTGTTGAGGAAAAAAACCACACACACACACACACACACACACAACAGAGAGAACATGCCGAATTCGCACATACGGTACCGGGGCGGGAGGCCAAGGTGCTGGCACTTGCCAGCCACGTCCAACAGACCCAGAATTTTAAAAGTTCCTGCAAATTCTGTGAAAGCTTATTTTTGTTCCCCTTGTTAATTAAGGCCTCAGACTAGCTAATATTTAGGCAAAATGCTAACTGCTAATGGCATGACACAGTACAGACCCATTAACTTAAGTGCCATGCAAATCATAAATCCAGATAGAAAGTATGTGTGCAACTTAATTGCATTTAGTTTCCATCAATCTCAAGCTACTGCAAAAATTAATAGTAGCAGAAAAAAAAAATTATTAACACCTAATTAGACTAATAAATTAGCTTTAAAGGAATGTCATTTCTACACATGATTAGATGTGTGGTCTCAAAGGGAATTCCGGGAAATACACAGGATCAGTGTTCAATAACCAGGGGAGGGCCCCACAGCAGGTCGCCCTCTGCAGGCCGATCAGGGCAACTGCTCCGTTTTCCACCATCCAAGCTTAGGACTTACTGCAGGACGCTGATCTTAAGCTGCAGGCCGTTGAGCACCTCAATGACATGGTGCACGTCTCCTAGCAGCTGGTGGGCGGCGGTGATCTTCGAGGCGCTCTGATCGGAGTAGTTCTCCTCTAGGAATGGCAGGCCGTACATGTGACCTCTGTTCAGCCAATCACTGTCATGCCTGTAGTGGAGGCTTTGCCTCTGCCCTGGAAATCAGCGCCAGTATGACAATCAATAAGCCATCTTCGTTCACATCATGTACACGCACAAAAAAAAAATGTGCACCAAAGACACTAGGTGGCATAGTGGTTAAAATTTAAACCACACGCAAAACAGCAAGGATATCTAAGGTGATATTAAAAATTTCCTATAACAAAAAATGTTCAAAAGCGAAAATGTACTTTAATTCTTGAGATTTGCTTGAATTGCCTGCTCTAGGTTATACATAACTGCTTTCCACAAACTTTGCCACGGATGAGCTTATAAACCGCTACATTTTCTTTCCAGTAGGGGGCAGCATTTCTCACCAGGCAGGTATCGACAGATATAGCAGGTGTATCTCTCCGGCACGTTGTCCTCCATGAGCCCCATGCATGCGCCATGTTGCCAGGACAGACACTCCTCACACTGGGGAGGGGGGATGTTACCACAATACTTAAGTCACCAAACACCCCATACAGTCTCACATTCAATTTCGGCAACACTGGCAACCCCCCCATGGTCAGGTGACCCGCAGAAGCCCCTAACCTGAATCATGAAGTCATTCTCCTCCTGCACCTTGCAGATGCAGCGCACGACATCGGAGCCCAGGCCCGGTGCAGTCACGCCTGGCACAGCATCCAGCTCCTGAAGCTCCTCTGTGCTCCAGACGGGGCTGTCCGTGGACCAGTCACTCCCACTATCCTCGTCTGCGTAAGTCAGACATGAGTCAGTGCTCTCCAGACTCACTCAGAGCTGTACGTGCTTCCAGTCATGTACGAGCGGAGTTAAGAGTGGAGCTCGTTAGTCTGCCATCACACCTGTTCCAACCCCAAGAATAAAATGCAACTAGTTACCGAGGTATGTAGACTGATACGGTTTAAATCCAGGTCTGGGCGTCTACATAAACGGCTAAACTTCCTAAATCTGGCGCATCGATCAATCGGTCTATGATATTTCTGCACAAAATGTGCTGGTCCACAGTCACCAAAAGGTCGGGAACCCCTAGCATTGCGGTACAGCTATATGCATCTGTACCCTATGAAGACCTGGCATGCCTTTCTGGGTGCCTCAGCCCAGTGCGGCTTGCTTGGGTATTGGGCTCCAGGCCAGTTTAAACATTTAGAAGATGGAAAGATGTACTCATTTAAATGAACAGTATTAAAATTTACTGAAAAGCATTACAAAATTATTTCTCCTTTTTTTTTTTTTTAAAATCCCCCCCACTTGTGTGATTTGATGGCTTGATTTGGTTCAGCCAATTAACAGCCTAATCTAGGTTAATAAAGAGCTCAAACGGAACAAGCACAGGGAAGTTGAGGGCTGGGGGTGGGAGACCACCCTCCTCGTTCCCATCTCTGTGCTCTGTTCCAGAAACATCCAATTTGAAGTCAGATTTCACAGATTTACATCTGACAGGCTCCGAGTTTCACCCGGCGGGCAGCAGGATGGCTCTCTACCTGATTTAGACTTTTTTCTCTTCTTCTTCTTCTTCTTCTTCAGCCTGATGCGCAGGAAGTCTTTAATCTTTGCTTCTTTCGCCCGTTCCCTCGCCACTGCCAGGCACACAGAGGTACAGGGTCACGACCCATATAGATTTATGACAAGGACACGGCCCCGTGCGCACGGACAAGGTGGCTGCATGAGATGGGTCAGAATGCTCAACCTGCATCGGCCGTGTTCGGGTCCCTCTCCAGCACCTTGCACCTCAGCTTTTCCATGTGGTTCTCCCTGCTCTTCTCCTGCAGCGATGGCCGCTGCCGGTTCCCAGCCCCACCACCAGGGGGAGCCAACGTTCGCTTCCGCTCATTCAGTTTGCCCATTCGGGAGGGGTACAAAGTCCGGTGGGTGGAACCTATGCAAAGGAGAGCAAATCTAGTTACTTAAAAAAAATTAAATGAGAAAAATGCTAATCTAAGCAAAATTCACTCAGTCATTTGGTTTTTCTCAAACAGACACAGTGACACAACTACAGAACTGAACTAAAAAGAGATTCAATAAAAATATGAAACATTTGATTGAATGATTTGATTGAACATTTGATGAAATAAGGTTCTGGGCTTATCCCTGGGGTTACACAGTGTATAAATCTATCCATCACACTGTAGAATTTCTATAATGAATGTGGGTAAGAGAGCCCTTCTGGGATCAAATCTCTATCAAATCTCTATCAGAAAGAAAAAAAAAAAAAAAAAACAGAGAAACTGACTCAAATGAGTGGAAGTGGTGCGCCGGGTCCTGGGGGTGTCCAGGGCGGCCTCCTGCCTCTCAGAGGCCCTCGTCTGCACGCTCCGGGGGGGGCTGAGGTCTGCCTCGGCCGCCTCGTCCCCCTCGTGGTAGTACTTGACATGGTAGTGCAGCAGCTTGGCCTTGCGGAAGGATTTGTGGCAGCCGGGGGCTCGGCACTTGAAGGGGTTGTGGTCCAGGTTGATGGAGAGCACGGGTGGCGGCTGGTTCTTCACCACTCTGTACACTGGAGACGCGGGAATGGGCGGGTCAGTTCTTGGTGTCATGTGAGCAGTGTCATGTGACTCAGAGGGGCAGGGTGTGTACTCACAAGGCTCCCGGCTGTACTTATTGGGGTTCGGCTGCTGTGTTTTTCTCACTAGCGGAGCTGCAAAGAAACACAAAAACTCAGATTATTTCACCAGTTCCAGACACAAAGTGGGAAATACTATTTAGCTTTTATCCAAAAAAAATTGAGAAAGCAGAGTCAGCCAGATCCTGGAGCAATTGAGGGCATAAAAATAAAATTGCTCTGGCAACCCTGGGATTTGAACCAGCAACTTTCTGATCACAAGCACAGTTCCCCAACCGCAAACTGCCCCAGCTCTCTCCCCTATTTCTTTGCTGCTCCTCTCAGACCTCAAATGTTGGCCTGATACTGTCAAAGCTTACACAACCCTAACAGTTCATACGTGCTGACATTGGATCACACCTTGTACAGCAGGGTCAGGTCCCAGCTCTGTGGGCGGTTTTGGGGTCTCTGTCTGTCCCTCTATGTCCAGAGTCTCCCTGTCGGCTTTCGCCACCGCCACTGTCGCTGTGGGGGGGTCCAACTCTGCTGGCTTGGACTCCACAGAACCAGGTTTCTCTGAATAAGGGTACAGGGTAGACAAATACGAGAACAACAGAACAAAGTTATAAATCACTCTGATGCCTTCTGAGATTTACCTCGGGAAGAATTAACAGGCATGGGTCAACTGGTCCAGCTAGAAGAACAGTCATTGGTTTAACACCAGTCACATGACTTCCCATGATTTACTGCAGTGACATATGTGCTCAAGGCATTTTCTATGTGTTTGAACAAGAGAGCGGAAGACACTACAAAATAGTGCACAGCAGGTGAAAAATGGAGTGGCTTTGAATAAACCCCAACCACCTGCGGCCTATATCAATGACAGCGGCAGGTTAAAATATCTTTCAATTAATGACACGTCAGTGAGACCTAACCCCAGAGACTCTGCGGTTCACGGTGTCACCTTACAAGTGACGATACCCTGGTGTGTTTCTCATGCTGACCCTTTGGGTGTTTTGGTCTTCAGTGGTATTTACTGTCTGCTTCCCAGGTTGGGAAACACTGGTCTGCTCAGGGGCTTTTGTAAGGGAGGAATATCCAACGACCTCGGATGAGAGGGACGTCGAGTGTTTTCGAGGGCAGACCTGTGCTGACGTCTGGCTTGCTTCTCTTCGAAGGTGGGCTCTGTCCAAGGCAGATCTTCCTCTTCCTCAGCTCGAGAACTTCACGTGGAGTTTCCGCTGCTCCTGGGGAGAGAAGACAAAACGTCGTCAGCAGACACCCATGAATACAAATTCAGAACGAGCTTCAGAAAGAAGAAAAAGGAAAAAAAACAACAAAAAAAAAAAAACATGAAGAACACAAGTAACTATAATCAGGAAGTTTGCACACCACCTCTCTGAAGTCTGCGAAACACGCAACACAGAAATCGTACACATACAGCTCTCGCTCTATTTAAAACCAACCTATGAAAATGCAGACTAGCTCAAAGAAACATCTGTATATGAACGCGCTAAAGCAAAAAGGTGAAAATTAAAACTTGTCTTTAGTAGTTATTAATGGTATATTTGATATAAGGTAGAAAATTTGAATTATGTAAAATATGACTTAAGAGCTTATGGGATGGATTATTTATGTTATTGAGAACTGACTATTCTATTTGCTAAAATATAGCATTATTGACACCATATTCATTGTTGTAGTTTCAGTCCTTATTGTGGTTAAGTGTCATTAAAATAATAACACTATTGGGGGCATTGTGCTCTGGTGTAGAACCCAATAGAATCACCAGCTGACAGCTGGACGGGTCCAGCAGAAACCCACCTTCTGCCGGTCGGGTTTGCCGGCCTCCGTTCTGGTACGGAGCCTCCTCCAGGCCGGCCTTCAGATGTTCTGATATCTCCACCTCAGCCTTGACCTCCATGAGCTCCTGCAGAGGGCTGGAGTCTGCAGACTGGCCCCCCGGCTCGCCCTGCTCCTGTACTCCCACGCCGTTGGCCTCCCCGGGCCCCGGCCTCCCGGGCAGCTCCCTCAGAACCCGTCGACCCCCCTCCCTGGCCGGCACCGCTCCCCGGTCGCTTTTCCCTCCGAGGGCCCCGCTGGTCTGCCTTCCAGTCTCGACCCCCAGATCTTCCATCTTTGCGGGCACCTGCTCCTCCTCCATCCCTCTCTTTTTGCCTGCCCCACCCTCCCCCTCGCCACTGGCGGCCCGGTCCAGGCTGCTCTCTTGGACCCTTCTGCTCTTGACGTTCCCGTTCTCCGCAGACCCACGTTCTCCACGGGACCTCCCGTTCTTCTCATTCTGCTGCTTTCTGAACTGAGCTTTGGCTTTGTTTTTCTCCTCCGATTTTGACTTCCCTCCTTTTCTCTGTGAGAGACGAGGAGAACAATAAAATCAGGAATGACACTATTTGCCAAGCACGTTACAGAGTGTTCTAGTCCATTCAGTACAGCTCAATATAAAGAGACAAGCCAACTGACAAGAACAACAGACTGTCATCTTTTCATTCATCTGTCCGTCCATCCGCCTCTCTGGGACTCTACCCCAGGCAGCATAGGACACAAAGTTCTACATAGATATTCAGAGCAGAGTTGGGGTTCAAACCTGCAAATCTGTAGACGAGAAGCTCCAGTGCTACCCACTGAGTCACTGTAATCCTTTATTGCATTATTTCCCCAACCCAGTCCTTGGGGACCCCCAGTCGGTCCACATTTTTGCTCCCTCCCAGCTCCCAGTAGGTGGGAGCAAAAACCTTAACTGCCTGCAGGTCCCGGATGGGAAACACTGCCCTGGGAAAGAGGCTGATCAGATTCCAGTTTGTCCTGGATAGACCTGTAGTGGTTCTCCCAGCATGCACCCCTTAACTACACAGAGCAAATACAAACTGGCACGTACACAGTAACTACATTATAATCCCCAACAAAACCAGTCAGGGCTGAAGCACCTTTGACAAAATGATATAGAAGGACCTGCCCGTAGACAAAGCTAATTCTTAATGTCAGCCTGAAATGAATAAAGGAGGTCTCACATTTCGGTGGAAAGACTTCACATGGATGTCCTTCACAGTCTGGACAACTCCATCGAAGAACTTCACAGTATAGGAAGCTGAAAAGGACAAAAAATAAAAAAATTAAAAAAAGGAGTGAATCGAGTGACTTATCCACTATAACCAACACAGCCAAAGGCTAGATTCGTTTAAAATTATCCCACATTAACATTTATGACATTCCCAGAAGTTGTGTTCTTGTGAAAGGACATTCAATACCAGATACTACAGTGCCCCAGTGATATTCCAAGAAATCACCCCGCGGTTCTGCCTCCATCCAGATCCTGGGCCGGTTCCTCACATTTTCATTGACATATATTTATTTAGCACACACTCTAGAGCGGCGCAGACGTGGGGAAAGTTTGCGGTGAAAGCGCAGGGTCAATCAGCATCCCAGGGGCAGCTGGGATTAAGGGCCCTGCTCAAAGGCCCAGCAGTAATATAACTACACTGTCAGCCATGGGACATGAACTCACAACTGGCCGGACATTTTATTTTAGCAGAAGCTTTTATTCAAAAGTGACATACAATGCAAAGGCAAAGTCAGACAGTCCCTGGGGCAACTGCTGGGCCTTGCTCAGAGTCAAAACAGAGAATTCAGGCAACTGAGCGTGGGATTTGAACCGACAACCTTCTAAACACGGGCAAAGAGTCCTAACCCACTGAGCCACACACTGACCCATGATCCCACACTTATTAATTATTATTATTATTATTATTAATAATAATAATAATAATAATAAAAAAGAGTACCTACCATCCTTGTTAACAGCCAGGACCCTGGCTGGATAGAAGCGGCAGTCTGACCAGCTGGCAAGGACCTTATCATTCATGTGAAAGCGCTGTGGAGACAGGAGACATGCAGAGTTTCCCCATCGACATGAAACACGAGCGGGGGGGCGAACGGTTAACGACGTCAGCATGAAATCCGTGCCTGTTTACACTTCCGCTCGAATGTCAAAGTAAAACGAAAGCACTAAACATAACCAGAACAGAACATAAGACTTTGTTAGACATATACATTTCAAATCAAACCAATGTTTTATTTATCAAATGCAGAACAGTATAGCAAAGAGCGGTAGATGCAGGCAATGAAATGAGTTTCCCCTGACAGCTCTCTATAGTATGTGACACAAGAGAAATAACTAAAATTGTAAATAAAACAGCAAACAATTTGACTCCTGTTATATATATTTGCACTGTATTTTGTGCTGTCTTTAGTCATATTTTGCCTATCAGAGCAATCAGGACGACAGAAGGATAAGATTCATAAACAAACTATTTCTAAAGGTGGCGTGTCACTCACTGTGTGTGCATGACGCTGCCATTTGGTGCTGCCGTCGTTTATGGCCTCATTCCTAGTGCCTTTCCTCATGTTCCCAGCACCTAGCTTATAAGGTGCTTTTAGTCAAACTGGGCTCTTAACTGGGTCTGGCTAAATGCACCAAATATGAAGTCTAAAGTCTTCTAAAAACACAACAATTTTTGTTATCAAGAAAATAAAACATACATCTTCAGCCTACTTTGGCTGATCTGTGTCCTGTAAACCAAATGACCACAAATTAGCAGGAAACCTCAAATGTAAAATGGAACGTTCTGTCGGCCGTTTTTTTCAGTCTGCCCAAACTGGCTCATCTGCTAAACGGACAGTCAGAAGTCCTCATCCAGTAAATCATAAAGGTCAGGTGACAGTAAAGGTCATTGCTATGGTGACATGGTGCCACCAACCGGGCCGGCCGGCCGGACTGACTCACTCACCGATCCCCCGCTGCTCTCCCTCAGGCCCTCCTTCCGCAGCTGGATCCTCTCCATCGGCCGCAGGTACGAGCTGCTCCAGTCAAACCACTCGTCGTAGCGATGGCTCCACTGCCGGTAGTGAATCAGCACCCGTTCCTCATCGTAGTCGATCTTCTCGATGCTGGCCACGTACCTGGTGGGCAAAACGGGAGGGGGGGGGCAGTTAGAAGAAGGGACAGTGGCCGGGGCGTCATGACACCAGCCACTAACGACCAGCTAAAAAGAGGCTCAGTGCAGGACAGGTGGACCAATGAAAGGCGCAGAGCAAATGAACCACTAAGCAGCGAGATATGAAACCCTAAGAATTTAAAATCGCCCCTGATAAAAACCACCACAGCAGATTGGGGTTAGGGGCGGGGCACTGAATGAACTGAATTCCAGTTAAGAACATTCTGGAAATTACTGACCAGTTCTTCAAGCTGTCTCGAGCTTCTAGTGGAGCTCCAACTTCAAATTTGATGCCCCTTCTGTTGGGGGGGGTCCTGGTCATCGTGAACACGGGGGAGGC